GGGTAGATGTTGTGCAATGCTGCTTTAGTAATAGGAGATCTCCCTGCAGGTCTTTGCTATGAAATCTTTGCTGAGAGGCACGGAGGCCAGCGATATTTATGTGCAAATGAATGGATTAGCCAAGGGCAGATAAATGACATTGCGAATGCAAAAGGAAGGCATCCTATGTGATTTGATGTTGTAGGAGCTTTGTAGGTTACACTGGCATTCCACTGATTCAGTGTAGCTACTCCTTCGTCTAAGTAAGATCAGAATCAGGCTCATTTGTTTCCCAGCCCTCCCTCTCTTCTCACAGTAGTCAGAAAGTTCTAAGGCTGATTTAATTAATAATACTAATAAAAAACCTCACATGGACATCCCCTAATTCTTGAACTTGACAATTTGACTAATGATCTTAGCAAACGGGCATTGTTGGGAAGCATTTCAAATGAAGTGGTTTCAATAGACCAAGATGCCTGTGGAATCTGGTTGGTTTGTGTTCATTAACTTCCGCATAAATGAGGGCCAAATCCTAGACCCAGAGCACAGTCTATGTAAAAGGGACGTGTGTGAAGGAGATACGTGGAGAGGTCAGGGGAGAATCCTCAACACCCAGCTGTGGAACCTAAAGTTACAGGAGACCATGCAGCTGCTGTATTCCCTCTTAAGCAGGGATATTGTGGTTCTTTGATAGATCTACATAGATCACCAGCCTTGCTCTTGTCTATCCTCCACTGGGCATAGGGACAGCCTGAGAAGCTGTGCTTATTGGCACTTGGGGTATGTGTGCTGGCTCTCCACATCCTGTCTTTTATGCAGCGGAAAGACTCCAGTGCTAGCCTTCTGCTCAACATCATTGCATCTTGAGTTGTTGATGGAGCAGAAGGGATGTGATCTTGAAACCCCACTGGGCCAGTGCAAATGTGAGGAGTGCAGCAATGGAATCCATAGAGATATGCTGGAGCCCTGAGAATCCACTGCCCGCAAAGGGCAGAAGGGCTAAAGAACTTACTTGGACTCCACGCCCTTACTGCCCCTCTTCTACAGACAGCAAGATCAATGATGGCAACTAGGATCACTTACGGCATCCAGGTGCTAGACCAGTTCAAGACAGAAGAACTGCTGAAGCATTTTAAGTTAACGCTAGCTTGCAGCAATAGCATGGGCTGGAGTGGCTGCTCTTTAGCATAATCCCCTTTGGCACCTGTACTGCTCCAAATCGTAGGTTTATCAAAAATGCATGATTGCCATGGAAGGGGCTGCTGGTGGCTAGTTGCGCGGGGGGGGGAGGGGCACATCATTGTATGTAGCTGCCTGGTCTGTCTACCTAATTCAGATGGCTATTTTGTCCCAGAGTTGATGTGGTTTTGTTCCTGGGTGTGCTGCCCAGCAGATGAAGGTGTAACATTTTAGACAGTGGAGCCCAGGCTGTCCTGGGGTGTCTTGGGATGGCTGAAAATTTTGAATCGTGTGGGATTGGGATGGTGAGGAGAGCCAGCTCAGGGTTTCTCTACAGCCTTCAAAGGCAGCTTGTGCTACTTTCCCAGCTGTAGACAGCTAGGAGAGGTTCCCCATGCCAAAGTGGACAATTCCTCTTTTAGTCATGCTAAGCTGCCGACCTCAGGGAAGCAGAGTGGCTATTTTTAAAGAGCAACCTCCGCTTTACTCAAACAAGGGAAAATGGGAGCCTGAACCTTACTTACCAGAAACCCCCAGGCATCATGAACCTCCACTGAAGAAATGGAGTTCAGATGATCAAGACTTCACTGCACCTGGTATTTAGCAATGTGACCACTGATACGTGTTACAATCATCAATGCCTGTGTTTACTATCAGAATAGCAATCATCTTCATAAATCTCTAAAATGAGTGTGATAGATCTTCAAGGGAAGGAGCCGTGGCTTTACGTTGGGGCTGTGTCTCCATAATAGTGCTAATGCATCACATCACAGTATCTGAGAACAATTCATCTCTAAGCAAAATGTTTCAGCGCCATACGACTGGTGCCTTGCGCTACCTATTCCTTTTATGTTAGAAAATCACCACTCGTTCGTCCCAGGAGTGGGGGTAGGGAGGCTGCAGAAAACGCTGCCTACAAATTGGAACAGAATTGCCTGTATTAGAGCTGGATTCTGCAAAGGAAAAATTAAATGGCATTAGTGCATGGCAAGAAAATCACTGTGTGTGTCTGTCTATCTATCATTAATTAATTTTCTTGCCTTATATAATTTTAACATGATTATAGTATAATATAGATACATTTTATTTTTAATAGATACAATTGTGTGTGTGTGTGTGTGTGTGTATATATTTTATTTATACTATATATATTTTAGTTTCTAATTTTTAATGGTGTGTACACACACATATAAACATATATAGAGAATTAAAAATATGAAGCTAAATTCCAGCAGAAAACTTTTTTATTGAGCTCCAACTGTTCTGCTGTTATTCATAACCCAGTTTCCTCTCTCACAAAGAGACCTTTTGCATGGTTTTTCCTTCTGCCTCTATAACAGCTGCTCTCAGTGTTGTATCCTGAGTGATGATGAGGTTCTGAAAGTGTTTTTTTGGAACAGATGGCCAGGAGAGAGCTGGGGAATGTGCCAGCAGAAAGCTGGGGAATGTGCCAAATCCTGCAGTGACTGAGTGCTTTGGGTTCCAGCTCGCGTGCCTTTCCCCTGCCCTCTGCCCTAAGTGGCGCCAGCAGGACTTCCCAACTAGCACTCTGAACATCTGGAGTCTGCGACTGCCAGGAGAGAGAGGCGGGGGGGGGGACCCTCCCTGCTCCAGCTTAGCTTCCATGTACTCAACAATGTTACTGACTAACAGAACAACTAATCAAAAACAAAGAAGAGGGGGAGGGAAAGAAAAAAGAACCTTGCAAGCTAAACAGCTGCAGCCGCACAGAAAAGCAAACTTACCCACTGCATTGGGTTAACAGTTAACATTATATTCAGAAAGATAACGAAACACACTCTGCTATCGTTCAAAAGTTTGAGCGGGTGGTGGCGGTGGAGCTGCCACTCTCCTGTATGCGAGGGGAAGCCCACCCAGCATTGTGGGGTGAATTATTTGTGTGGGATACTTAGTGAGGTACCCTGTTCCTGCGCCCCACAACAGGCCCTGGAGAGGCTGGCCAAGGGGAATGCCACAGCCGCTGTGTGCGCCATGGAGCCGTGCTCAGGGATTGGGGATGAAAGGGGGTTTGGAGTGAAGTCTGGAGAGAAGGCAGCAGCCTGGCTAGTGTATCCACAACTTCGTAGATCCACTGGTGAAATCCTCTTGCAGAGTCAGCAGCCATAGTACAGATCATAAGCTATAACAGCAGCTAGGTTAGTGCTCTGTGGCCTGAGATGAGGATACGGCCCCCATGAAGTCCCTTGTGCAAAGCCATTTACTCAGACTTTATGTCCCAGGCACTGCCTGTTTGTAGGGATGAGTGGGGGAGGAGGGAAAAGAACAATAAAAAGGATCATTTGTGTTAGTGGTAGGTCATGACTGTGTAATGAATGAAGCTTGTTTGTATCGTGTGCCACTCTTCTACACAGCAATAGTGTGTGGTTAGCACTCTATCAGGGCCTGATCCAAAGCGCACTGCAATCAGGGGAATCTTTCCATTGACTTCAGAGGGCTTTGGATTGTGTTCTGTAGGTGTGTGGAATGCCACACAAAATAGAAAAATATAATACGTATTCTCTTCTCTGACCCGCCCTCTGCAGCTTTTACGTCCACAACACTCACAATAATGCCAACGGAGAGTTCTGCCCGTGACCACACGATATTCCCTACCCCACTGTGTCCGTTTCAAAGGAGATTATTACCCCATCTCTGTAAAATATGGAATTCTGTGCTGAATTCTGCCCATGGATGAGTATCCAGGTCTCCCATTCACTGGGATTCGTGCATGTGCCTTCAAGAGCAGGAGGTGGCTCAAATGATTTACATAACAGACTGAAAGGCAAATTTAAAAAATGAAGATGTTCATAAGAATCCTCTCTTCCCCCTTTGCTCCCCATAGCCCATGGCCATTTATTTTACAAAGAGGCATTTGAAGTCTTTCATTTTACCCTTGGTTCCTTTTAAATAGGATCCCCAAACACCCTTAGTCAAGTCTCAGCTAGAACAGCAGCATAAATTGCCAGATCCCCTTGTGTTTTAGACTCGTTAAGAGCAGCATTTTCTAGCATAAAAGGTTTCAAAGGATAAATCCAACTCTTCTAATTAAGACAATGGAGTGAAAAGAAAAAAATCCATTGTTTTTCCTATTGCAACAGCAAAGTCTGAGCAATAGTCTAATGTCCGGAATAGCAGATAATTCAACATCAAAAACAAAGCAAAAGGCTACATATCATCAGCAAATTCAACATCTGGAGCCGTTGCCTGTCAAAACAAACCCCAATCAGCTACTTTTTGTGTGAAAAGCTCACTGTGCCATAGCACATTCTGTAACCTGCTTGAGAATTGAGAGTGACATGAGAGAAGGAGATAAACCACAATAAAATAAAGATGACCGTAGATAAAGGTACTGGGGGATGGAGTGAAGTGAAGGACATTGCTTGGGGACTTGACTGTCTTTACTTGGCTCGTTATAACTTTAAAGAGCAAGGAACAAACAACCCAAAGTCGATAATTCAGCAGAACTACCCAGTGAACTGCAACTTTTGAAAACTGATTAAAAACACACCGAGTTCTTGGAAAACGTGCCGACTTCAAAATTAACGAGAGAGCAGTGGTTTCAGTCCAAGACACTGTATCCTCATCCAACAGTTTAAGGAAGACCCCCCGCAGAAGAGAGATCTTTTTACACCACCTGAAGTCCAGAGCTCAGTTCTTTTATGAACAAATATCCCAGCCTTTTAATAATGATTTCAGTGTTTTCATATCTGATATTTACACCGCTATGGATTATGGGGCTAGAGGGAAGGCAGAGGAAATTAAGCGGATTCTGATTTTAGGTATAAAGAAGTGGGTTTTTCCTACATTTAAATAGATTCACCTCACCCCATTTTTAAAGGCTAAAGATCACATTCTTGTAATTTAAAGGTCCCAATCCAGCACCCTTTGATGTCAAAAGGAGTCTTCCCATTAGCTTCAAAAGGTGTCAGATTTGGCCCTGACGGTGACAAAACTGTCCTTGGGTGTACTTTCATTGGCACCAGGGGGAGCTTCCAAATTCTGCTAACCAATAGAAGTGCTGGTTTGCTCTCAGCGCTCTGACTGGTTGCTGGAATTATTGACTGGTTAGTGTGTCCAATCAATGGCTCTTAGTTTTGTCCTTCGCCTTGACTGAGCACCTTCTTGCCAGCACATTAGGAAATACTGCCCAGGCAACTTGACACTTGTTGATTCATCTGGAAGAATCTGCTTTGCTGGATAGAGACTACGGGCCTAGTTCTGGCCTTGGATAAACCTGAGGATGTTTCCTGAAATGTTCCCCTTCCCAGCTGGGACCTCTAAACATAAACATTGTGTTTGTGAGACTCAGAAATAGAAACTGATCAGTCTGGTATCAATGTGTAGGAGACAAAGCCCCCCCTTCTATTTCTGAGCAGGCATTTGGGGAGGGCTGGGCTTGCGTTTCTTTGGAAATTTGAGGGTTAGGAAGATTTTGTTTTGTGACGTGATTATTGTTGCTGACTAGTGGTTGTATGTGGGGGCGGGGGAATGTGCTGCTGTCCGGTGAGAGTTTCTGCAAATGGGAGAGATCTTCTTTTATGTTCGAGTGAAACTGAGAGAATAAACAGCATAAATGTCAGGATTTAGATGTTTAGTTGTTTATTAAAGACCAGTCCAAACCTAAACCACAGCTCAGAACACCCATGAATTTGGAGCAGTTTGAAATCTGGGATTTTTATGTCTTTAACCCTTCTTTTAGTTTCCATAATCTTGGACACTGGTTCTCAAACTATTGGAGATCCATCATCCAAAAAACTGGTCTGCCGTCCACCATCTCCTGATCCTTTGCAGCTTGCTGGGGTGCTGAGTTTGGGGCAAGTGGGGCACTGGTTCTGGGCTGTGCTTCTCTTCTCTCGCCTCACGAGCACTATTTGAAAAGGCTGTGAAGTTGACTGTCCTGTCCTCTGCCACAGACTCAGCGCTATGCAGGAGAGGAGGGAGTAAGGGATGGGACTGCTGCCCTGTGGGGCTGAAGGGGATGGAGCAGGGGCAGGGTGACAACAGGAGGCACAGAGAGGTAGAGAATTGGTCTCTTTCTGCCCCTGCCATGGTTCCTTCTCACCATGAAATTACGCCATTTTTTTTTTCTTAACCTGTGGGATAAGACCATCCAGATGATCCCTTGCAACCCACCCCATTGGTTAAGAAACAATGACGTAAAGTGTTAGCAATATATGTAAGGAATGTCTAAGTCGACTCTGTCCTCTGGACCTTTCAGTGTGTCTCAGCCTGATTTCTGTCGGTATTTTAAATAGTAACCATCTTGGAGCATGGGATTTGTCTTTTTGTGTATGTCTTGTATGGGACAGAGTACGAAGGTGTGCTAAGTCATAAATATTAATCATGTCAGCTAAAGGAAGAGGCCGGGAGAGTGCAAATCTGTTTTATTTATAAATTGGGTTTCTGAAAAAAGTATTTGTTGGGAAAAAATGAGGAAACCTTTCTGAATCAGAGGTAGATCTTACTACAACCGAAGAAGGTGAATACTGCTCAGCTTAGCTGTCCATTCATCCATTAAAGTCCTGCTGATTTATTATCCTGCATGACAACTGGGTACAGAATGCGGAGGGAAGTTCAATTCAAGTTTACAAAACTCTTTTTGTCGTAAAACTCTGAACAAAGACATCAATCACTCTTTTAATTTACCCATGTCACTTTCCTAGAGGAAAGCTGGCAGAATGCTCAGTTTCCTCTTTAACGCGGCTTGATGATGATTTCCCCTAATTGGTTCAATGTTAAGTAACCTGAAGGAATGCAATGTGTAATTAGATTTAGTGTTGTTTCCCCAAGATACCCATATGTTCTTCAGGTCAGACATCTCGCTAATGTGTTTATATGTACAGTGTCTCCATTAGCTACTTCTTTTTTATTTTGTTGTCAGACGATTTTTTTTTGGAGATAAGCGTTCGATTAAACAAAACAGAAAACACAGCTGAGTGATTGTGTTTTATGATCTACAAAAGGCGACCCAGGGCTGGTTTGTTTTAACAAATAACAGCCACAAGACAATGCTAATAGGATCGTGGTCATGTTAAAGTGTGTTGGGCAAGTAGCGAGAGGAAGAGCTTGGCCCAGAGAATAGGAAGGATGGAAAAGTTTTTGATTAGAGAGGAATGTGGTTGTTACAAGATCACACAGATTCGGGGGGAGAGGAGGTGAAGAAAACCAAAAAATGGGGAAAGAATAAGGAATAAAAATAAGGAAATGTTCAAAGGATGGAGAAAGAAGGAAACCACCTTGGATTATTTGTGTTATTTTGTTCTCTTGAAACATACCTTCCTTTTTTTAGATCTCCCTTCTGCCTGCAAGGTCCTAGTGCACTGCTCCACGCATTCTGAGAAGCTCATGTTACTGTGGTCAGCGCTGTAATCCATGTCAGCTAGTCTGGCCAGGGAAAGGATATAGTTACAGGCTATTCTCAAAATGGCCAGTTTGGACAACTTTTGACCATAAGAATAGCAGGGAACCTAGAAAGGGTAACAGGAAAAAAAAATTAGGCCAGACAAACAAAATATCTGTGCTCGAAGGCATGACAAAACAATTGTAGGTTATTTATTTAGCAGTTGTTTAACATAAATAGGAGTTTGACTGATAAAAGGCCATATGGTGCCATCAGTTTTTTTTTTAAAGAGAACTCCCCTGCTGATCTCCATGGGAATGAAACCAGTGTGAGATGTCTTGATTTCAGCAGGGGCAGTTCTGCTTAAATTCTGATGGCAGGATATGGCCCGGAATGTTTACTCGAATTCGGTTTTGTGCTTAGTTGCCTGGCTGGTTTCATTTGGATACTGCAACCTTTGTGCCAGATTCTGATCCCCTCACTCACGCTGAGTAGCACCCAGGGGCGGTGCCAGGGTTATTGCCGCCCTAGGCAGCAGCGCTCCTCCTCTGAGCATTCGGCAGCGGGGGTCCTTCCGCTTCATGTCTTCGGGGCACTTTGGAGGCGGGTCCCGGAGCGAGTGAAGGACCCGCCGCCGAATTTCCGCCGAAGACCCGGAACGGAAGGACCCCCCCGCCGCCGAATTTCCGCCAAGGACGGCAAAATGCCATCCCCCCCAAATCTGCCGCCCTCGGCGACTGCCTAAGGTTGCCTAGTGGAAGCGCCGGCCCTAGTAGCACCTTACTCCACAAGCAGCCACACTGACCTAAGTGGGACTCCTTGTAGAGTACCGTACTATAGTGCAAGCATGCGAGGGTATCCGAATCTGGCCCCTTGAGCTTTGACAACAACAATCAGCACTTACAGCAGATGTAGATGTAAAAATACAGCATCGTTGCCGAGTAGAACCTTGAGACAGTAATTCTCGCTCAGGTAATCCACACGCCATAAATCTGATGAAAGACCCAGCAGTCTCACCCCATTTCTCAGCCAAGATTTAACAGCAGAGGGCTGTGGTGAGGTCTTATATTACGAATAACTTAAGACTTTCACAGAACATACTCCTGAATGTTTTCTAGTATAATATGAAGTATTTGAATAATAAAAACTAATAACTAATTATAATAAATTAATAAAAATAACTGGCACTTGTATAAATAAATAAATTACAATAGCCTTGATTTATTTAAAATCATGGTCTTGCAAAACTCTTAAGTACATGCTTGTCTTTAATACATGAGTAGCCCCACTGTACTCAGGTCCAATTTTAAAGAGAACTCTCCCAGCTGAAGTCAGTGGTATTATTCTTGTGCTTTGCTGGACTCACCAATTTACAGAACTGCCAGTGGGCCTTGCACTCAGAGAAAATCAGTGCGTTTCTCCTGCATATAGAAAATTGGACTCTGAGGCCTGGTCTACACAACAGAGTTAGGTTGATGTAAGGAAGCTTATGTCAACCTAATTATGTCAGTGCACACACTACAGCTTTGCTCCCGCCGATATAAGTGCCCTACTATGCCAACATCATAACTCCACGTCCACGAGAGGCGTAGCACTTATGTCGGTGTGGTTAGGGCAACGCAGCGTCTGTGTAGATACTGCATTACTTAGATCAGCTAGTGGCTGTCACCCCAGGGCAGGTGGGAGGGCTCGAAGGGACCATAGAGCCAGGGCGGGGGGCAGCTGGGCTCCCAGCGGGGAACTGCGAACAGAGCCCCCACACTGCCACTCTTAACTCGGTGGAAGCGCTCCTGGTGAGGATGTACACTACCGACAGAAGAAGGGCAATGTGGACATGAACCACCACAGTAATTACTGCGGTGGCTGTAAGTTGACCTAACATAGGTTGACTTAAGTTTGTAGTGTAGACATGCCCTGAGTTATTTATCTAAAACCCATCCCTGTACACTAGTTACCCAGGCTGGCTGTCTTTCTGTCAATCTAAGATTTTATACTATACCCATCACCGGAATACCTGAACTCTTCTGTAGTGTCTGACTGCCCAGCAGAGTCCCTTTCACCCTGATCCTGGGGTTTTTAGACAATTGGGGAAGCTTCCTTTGTGCTTTTGCCCTTCTCATCCATGTCTCTCCCGCCAGGTTGTCTCCAGGTCCATGAGCAGATAATGCAGAGCGTACAACCAATACTCTGAACCAAATTCATCCCTGGCGTAATGCTATTGATTTTAATGGAGGGATTCCATTGGCCCTCCATGTCCAACATGTTTGCCAAACACATAGTCTCTCAGCTTGTAGGATGTGGGTTTGTATGATGAGACCTCAAGGAGTATCTTGCACTTCTCCAGAAACAAGCCAACAAACTTCACAGGATTTTCCTCAAATTTTTAAAATGTATAGCACAGTATTGGTAATACTGGGGATGTAGGGAACCTGCTCTTCTCTCTCTCTCTCTCTCTTTGGAAAACCCGTCTTCCACTTGGTGGCATTCTCACAGCACATGAATCAGGGACCCGCTCTAATGTTTACTAAGTAATAGAATCACCTCCTGTGTTCTGTTGTATTGGTGTGCTGGGGAGCAGTATCCTTCCTTTATGCCAAAAGCAAGCCAGGATCGCTCTATAGGAGCACTCAAAACATTCTCACGTAAGCGTCATGTCCATAATGCTCCCCAGTAAATCAGTGGCCTGGCTACGAATGGAACACAAGAATTCTATTGGCACTTAGGCCTGGGCTACACTAGCGGGGGGGTTCGAACTAAGATACGCAACTTTCAGCTACGCTATTCGCGTAGCTGAAGTCGAAGTATCTTAGTTCGACTTACCTGGTCGTCCTCATGGTGGCGAGTCGACCACCGCGGCTCCCCTGTCGACTCCACTTACTCCTCCTGCCGAGGTGGAGTACAGGCATCGATTTGGGGATCGATTTATCGTGTCTAGACGAGATGCGATAAATCGATCCGCGATACATCGAATACTACCCGCCGATCCAGCGGGTAGTACAGACGTACCCTTAGTCTTGTGTTCTCTCCACCAGCTCACAATTTCTCCCAACAGCCTGTTTACTTGGCTTTCAAGAGCTCCCTGCCTACTCTCAATCCTTTGTTGACACTTGCAGCTACCCACTGTGCTTCACTTCCAGTAGCCCCTTGCCTACAACTCCACAATGGACTTAAGCTGGGCATTTTTCTTGTTAAAGGAGAATCCATGGCAGCAACAAAAACAAAATATCTGTTATCATTGAAAGGATATGATGGGGCCAACGAAAATCTCAGATCAAACAGAAGTCACAGCTGATGATCAAAGCAATATGGAGAGCAAAATGGAAGGTTTCGGTGAAAAGTGGGAACGATTTCAAAGTGAGAGCAAGAAAGTTAAATCAAGTGGAAGTAAAACGGACCATGAAATACTTGAGCCTGATGCACATATGTCCGCCAGTTACAAAACAAAAACTGGAGGAAAATATCTTTTCCCTCCTTTGTTTCCCCTCCCCCTCTTTTGTGAAGGTTTTTTTTATTTTATTTTGTGAGCCATGTTTGTTACAAAGTTCAAGAAAGATACCCGTGTTAAAATCCTAGAGAAAATCACCAGCTGGGATTAGAAGACACTTTTCCGTACACTGTGACAAGGTATAAATTGGAGCAGCCCCGAGATAAGGGTTTATTCAAGAGCGTGCACACCTGGAGAATTTCAGCTTTTCAGAGAGCAGGATGGTGCGTGCAGTACAGGAACACAGACACATATGGGTTTTCTCTCTAGTAACAATGTTAGAATAGAGGTTTCCAAGGAGCACTTCCCATCTTGACTCAAATTTAATGGGGGAATTATAAAGAGGCTTGTGCGTTAATTATGAATAGATCTGAGACACAAAGTTCAGATCTGGTCTGGATCCAAACATTCCCCAAAGAGGGGGAGTTCAGATTGGGGTTTTGGTATTCGCCCAAGAGAAAGCCAGAAGTGGACTGCCGGGCATAGGTGTTGCAAGCCTTGGCTATGCACATGTGGTGGGGAAGGACTCTTTCAAGAGTAGGTTTAAGTGTCAAGAACAGGTATTAGAGTATTTCGAGATTTACAGCCTGATTCTGCTCTCACACTGGTGTAACACCAGTATTGGTGTCAGTGATACACTGATTTACACAGGCAGGAGTGAGAGCAGAAGCAGGCTTCTAATTTACTCTTTTAAAGAGGGCAAACCTTTTTTTGCAGCCACACCACCCTTGGCTCATCAGATCTCAGAAGCTAAGCAGGATCAGGCTTAGTTAGTGCTTGAATGGGGGACATACAAATTTAGGATGAACATAAGAACAGCCAGACTGGATCAGATCACTGGTCCATCTAGCCCATTATCCTGTCTTCTGACACTGGCCAGTGCCAGATGCTTCAGAGGGAATGAGCAGAACAGGGCACTTTATTGTCCCCCATTGTCCAGTCCCAGCTTCTGGCAGTCAGAGGCTTAGGAACACCCAGATCATGAGGTTCTGTCTCTGATCATGTTGGCTAAGAGCCATTGATGGAACTATCCTTCATGAACTTATCTAATTTTTTTTAACCCAGTTATTCTTTTAGCCTTCATGGCATCCCCTGGCAAGGAGTTCCACAGGTTGACTGTGCAATGTGTGAAGAAGTACTTCCTTACATTTGTTGTAAACCTACTGCCTATTCATTTCATTGGGTGACCCCTGGTTCTTGTGTTATGTGAAGAGGTAAATAAGACTTCCCTATTCACTTTCTCCACACCATTCATGGTTTTATAGACCTCTAGCATGTCCCTCCTTAGTCATCTCTTTTCTAAGATGAACAGTCCCAGTCTTCTTAATCTCTCCTCATACTGAAGCTGTTCCATACCCCTAATCATTTTTGTTGCCCTTCTCTGTACCTTTTCCAATTCTAATATATCTTTTTGAGATGGGGTGGCCACAACTGCATGCAGTATTCAAGGTGTGGGTGGATCATGGATTTATATAGTGGCTTTACGATATTTTCTGTCTATCTATCCTTTTCTTAATGGTTCCTAACATTCTGTTAGGTTTTTTGACTGCTGCTGCCCACTGAGCAGATGTTTTCAGAGAACTATCCATTCACTATGGGTGAGTTTACTCATAAATGCATGGGCAGGGGGATTTCTAAATTTC